CGTTTAAATTGAACAAACTAACGAAACAAAAATAAAGCAATTCATTGTAAACTAAACAAAATTTCATCCATATATATATGAAGGTGTGTCCTTTGATTTATTCGCAGTTTCCTTTACCTTTATAAGCTAAGATTGATATCTGTTTGGTAACTTGATCGTGGTTACAGGGAGAACACACTTAGTCCTGCCTCTTCTGCCGTAGAAGTCATGGTCGGTTTCATACCTTTGACTTGGTGGATCCCCAGCTATTTCAACGGCATCGTCACTTTGGTGAGTTTTACATCAGTTCAATGGATTGTGCTTCTCAGTGAAAGTCAACTAAACAGTCTACAGCTGAAAAGTATCATGGCAAAGGGCGAGGACTGAACATGTTTGGAAAGATGTTTCTGTCACGACGAACAATATGCGAAAGCCAGATCAAATAATTTCAAAACGAAACATGATTTCGTAGGTTAGAAACAAGAATCATAGGACACGCTTTGACTAATTATTGTATATATCTTGAAGTGACCCATTAAATTTATTGCAAATTGAGTGTATCTTGATTTTAAACTTGCTGATTTCCTTTATCTTATGTCCCCACATGCAGTCGCATGTTCCCGGCATACAAAATCAAAGTGTCTGGCCTTGATTCGCAATCAAAATACGTTGCCATGCTCGACATTGTGTCACAAGAGGAGAACCGGTACAAATTCCACAACCGCAGATGGGCGGTGGCCGGTAAGGCTGACCCTGAGCCTCACAGGCGCCTCTACATACATCCGGATTCACCGGCGACTGGAGAGCACTGGATGCAAAAAGCGATTTCCTTTCACAAGCTCAAGTTGACTAACAACATTGCGGACCGACAGCCATACGTAAGTTGACCAACTCTCTTTTTCCTATCCTCCTTCGTACTCAGGCTTCATCTGACCCCGGGTGATTAGAATGATCGGGGGAATAGAACATGGATACAGACAGGCCAAAAGAATAGAAACATTATTCAGTCCAGAAATTGTTTGACCTCGTTTTCGCAACTTGGTCATATTGGTAGGAAGACTAATAGGAAAGCACCTTGTC